TTAAATACTGTTCCTGTGTTAAGGCCTGATGGCCTACGAATCAAAACTTTTAATTAAGCTAGAAACATTTAAAAAAGAAAAGAGCTAATCAAAACGTTTCAGTGTGAGCCCCAGACTCATGAACATGAATCCCGTACCCTTGTGGATAAATAGCATGTAGGGGCAAATTAGCTATTTGGTTTTCTTAGAGACCAGCATGTCGAAAGAGCGTAGTATTTTGAAAATTTCTGCACTGGACTCCTTGAATTGCTCAGTCCGTTAGACTTCTTACAGATTTTACTATACGTGGAATTGCCAGCTTTTATTGCAACTTCGTTCTCATGGTTTCTCGTCTCCCCGCCCTCCCTGCATTCATTGCGCGAATCGTTCAGCTTCCTGTGCATTCCGCTGGCGTTTCCTCGTGCTTTTGGTTCATGTTTCTTTCGTTTTCCAACGAATTCCTTAATAGTTGCCCGGTGGTTTCTTCAATATAACAGGGCTTTTCCCTTTTTCAACGGGAAAGCCCTGGGAAAGAGGTTGGTTAACTGTTACATTAATTTCCCTGTGCATTACTCTACAAGTTTCCTTTTCGTTCGACTTGCTTTTCGTTCTGTTTTCCGCTGCGTTTTGCCTTGCCCTACCCAGTGCGTTCTGACATTTGTAACCCGTGGTTGCTTCCATGGTTTACCAGTGGGTTCCCTCCAACGTTAGCCCGGCCTGCGAGCAGTCTCATCAGGGCGCTTATACATAGGGCGGGGTTGGGCGGGGTACCAGGCCTTTTTCCGCCCTGGTCTCATCTTTGAGCCACGCGCGCGAGCGGCGAAGGGCAAAGCGATCCGGCGGGAAGGAGTCTGGTATTTTTTCTTGGACCTGGAACCACAATGCATGTTTCAAACAAGGAACAGAATTTAACCAGTCAGCAAATACAGCCCATGCAAAACACTCCGATTCCGGCCTAGGGACTGGGATTCCAAGGAACAGATGGCGTTCCTGATTTTCATCGGTGGATATTAATAGGAGTGTTACTGACGAGTTCAACATGCACAAGGTTGTGATGTAAAATAAAAATTACAAGAGAACAGTTTCATGTTGGTGTTGGCCCGCCACGTAGATACAGGTTGATACAACGTCTCCAACTAAAATTCCGAATATAACTCTGGGACGTAGTCTGAACGAGGAGGATTTACACTGTTCTGTTCCTCCGTTTGCCTGGGCTTACCTCGCGAAGTTTTGCCGGTTTGAAGGGGACTTATTTTCAGGGGGGATGGATCCTTGGAAGATGATGGTATTTCTCGGACGACAGGTTGATCGTCGTACCTTTCAAGGGAACAAATCTGTAGTTTAGTTATTAAAGTTGCTCTTACAGCGCGCCCACAAACAGGATTCTGGTATGATTCTGTTACCCCACCCCAGTTGTTTGCGCCTTGGTAGTCCGAGGGTTTCTCTCTTGATTAATAAACATTGTGTGACGAGGCGGCGAAAAGCAAATTACA